GCTGTCATTGTTGACGAAACAGTTATTAAAATCCGTTTGTTATTTGTACACAGAACACTGGCAGTTAATAAAGCATAGACGCTTCTCGAAAGTTATTTCATTAAAAGGAATATCCCGGGTGAAAACGTTTTACGTTTATTTAAGACAGTTAGATTATTTATTAACAATTTTAACGCGCGCGTTCAATTGTTATTATATAATTGCTTTTAGAAGTAGCATTTTTGTATCGTCGGCTAGGAGCGTGACGCAGCGTCACGCGTGAGCGGGCGCCGTGCAACGACCGTGTTTAGACAATTTTCTTGGCGAATTCCCCGCTAGGGCCTCGCCCAAATATAAATAACATAGCCTCGCCACCTCGCCCTCGCCTGATATTCGCCAGGTTATTACAATTTTTCGCGTTATGAATATCGTCGCGTGGAGCCTTAATATCCCTCGCGCCGAGGGAGTCACACCTCAACAATTTTACTTTAATTCTTATTTAGAGTGCCGCCTTATTTCGGTTACAAGATTCTTAGTATTTGTTTATGGCGTTAACTCGCTTGCGGCGGCGACGATGGGGTAATTTTCGCTTTTTTCAACGGCGTAATTTCACCGAGCCGCATCGGGGCGAGAGAAGCGCAAATTGGCTATCTTATAGCGCGACGAGTGCGATAAAAGATAATTCGGAGATAACAAATACAGTTCAGGGGTCAAGGGTTTTTTTTTTATTTTGGGAAAAACTCGTGTTCATTGAGAGTCGTGCGGCGCGTCATCGTCACGCTATCAATCATGTATGCGCCATTGCTCAGCGTTGCGCGCGCTTTTGTTCGAATTTGAAAAAAGAATATAACGAGAAAGATAGAAAAAAAATTGGTTATGGTTTTTTTTTTTTAAATTCTCCTGCCCATAGTGTTGCATACACAAATATGTATAGATTCATCAACATTTAAAAATGAGAATGACAACAGTTACTGTTTCAGTTATAGTTTTTGCGTTACAATTGACAATAAAGTTGCCGCGTTTATATTTTTGCTAATAAGTTTTGCTCAATAGTTCTTACAATATAATTGCCATCACAGTCGTTCGTTTTTAATAGGAATCTACCCGATTATAGCTAACCAAATAATAATACATTTATAAGAGTGTGACACCGTTAAAAAAGTAGAGAAAATTGCTAATGGTGTATGATATTGCCTCCCCTCATTTTTGGGGTAAGAAAAGACTAGGGGTGGCAGCACCTTCGTTCTCCCGAGAGTTTTTTTCCAAGGCGAGCATTTCTTGTATTTTTCGACGGGTGTTTTTTGCGTAATGACGTCGAGGTCCTGGGAGAGTTGGACGAATCCATTAGATAGGCGGGAAGAGCTTAATGTAGCATTTTTTTCTCCTGTTCCCAATCGGAATCGGGTGAAAAAACAGTGTCGCATGTGTCGCCGAGGAGCACATTAGTAGCATTTGTAATGACTTTTTATTTCTGTAGGTGTGTACAGAATGGGAGGGTCGCGACGATCACTCTGTTTATTTGTTTTTGCTAGTTGTGTATCTATCCTATAATATTCATTTTGGAATTGTCGTCTACTAACGATGGTCTCAATATATTTGTTTGCTAGAAATATATACAATATTAAAAACTAAACCTAAAAACTTAAACTATCATACAGTCCTATTCCTCGCTGAATGGATATAGGGGAGACCGGGTACAAAAGTAACGGCGGGTCGAAAGTAACAAATGCTCTATAGGTTTATCCAATAGCCAAACACCGCTTTGCTTCTGTAAGGTGATAGCCGGTAGTGGCCCCCTCACTTGCATTCAATCGCCGCGCGTGTCACGCGCTGTTAGATTGTGTGAGAGGACACTATGTGATTTCACAAATCAAAAGTAAGTTTTATGACGTTTCCTTATTTAATGTTTTCGTAGTCTTAAAAGGATGATATCAATCTGAATATTTGCATATTAATTCTTGAGTAGGTTGACTACACATTGTTTTAATTAATTTTTGTCTAGCATATTCTGTTTTAAAGTTATCTTTCATATATTAACAAAAATGTGATCGGGTACAAAAGTAACATAGCCCTATGGGTACACAAGTAACATGTTACTTTAGTCCCCATGTTGATTTATGTACTTACTATTGTTATGTGTATATTTATTTGAACAGAATGCCACGACATAAGAACTACCACACGAGGAATTACTGACACGGAAGTGTACCGAAAAGCGACTGAAGAGCTTTCTAAAACTGGTACAAAAATTAGATCCCTGGTCGTGTTGGTTGTGACGGAGCTGGCAATACTAGTAAATGATACAGGAGGCACAACTTTTACTGTTTCAAGAGCACTTCAAAAACCAAGTCAAGCCAACAGTTGATCAAAAATGCTTGTTACTGCTCGACAACCATGCATCGCATATATCTATCCAAACTCTAGAGTTTTGTAAAAAAAAAGGATGCGGAATCATTCTGGTCGGACAATGACTATCCATTACATTCCTGGGATTGTTAGAGAAGCGTTTCCTCTTTCTGTCACTGATAGAAATGCAATTTTTCTGTACTTACACCGGTATAAGTCCATTTAATAGGAATGTATTCACTGCTGTTGACTATGCACAATCATCTGTCACTGATCGGCCTTTACAAGTTAACAGTCAAATTCCACCAAATGATCTGTTGACCAGTTTTAATGCAACGTCCTCCATCCAAGTTGATCTGGAGACTACAGTTAATAATCTTCCAACATCGAGTGACCGGACTACCCAGTGTACATTTAGCAATGATTTGTCGAAGAAATCCAATTCGCCAGTATCAGGACTTAGCTGGTTGCAGCAAGCAAATTCTTCTCAGTCGTTTGATTCCACACCGAGAGATCTAAGACTTTTACCACAAGCAGGTCCGAGGACTGTAGCAAATAAAGGATGTAAAAATGTAAGGCAGCATTATTGACGAATACGCCCGAAAAAAAACGCATTTGAAGAACCGAACCAACAAAGAAAAACGGTTTTAAAGCCCGATACTGGGATTGACAAAAGGAAGTTGATATCTACGAAAGGGAAAGGAAAAGGAAAAAAGACAAAGAAGGCAGCTAAAGGCAAGAAAAATACATCTGACGACGAAGATTGCTTTTGTCTCGTTTGTTTAGAAACTTTTAGCAAAAGTTGACCAAATAAGCAAAGGATACAATGTACAAAATGTAAAATTTAGTCACATGCTGAATGCGTTATCGATGATGCAAATTATGTGCCATAGTTGTGAGTGTTAGTAAAATACTAATACTGAGTAGTCTGATTATAAAAAAAAATAATTTCATGTAATAATTGATCTCATTACTAAATTCTTTTGTTTTCTTAAAATATATAATTTTGAAGCATTTAAAATGCAAATGTTTATCCGAGTTATTAATACAGTCTTGTAATAAATAATTAGCTGATTTAATATTTCACGTTATATTCATTACAAACCCCTTACTCCTGTTACTTTCGACCCACAACGTGTTACTTTCGGCCTGCCTACGTGGTCGAAAGTAACAACTGACGAATTTTTTTAAAGTCGCTGTGATTCATATAAAATACACAATAATAAATTAAATCAATATACTAATGTATAGAACATAAACCAAATGTATAAATGGTTAGATTAATTTCATAAAAATAATTACACCTAACCAGAAAACAAGGTAAAAGCACAAAATGTTACTTTTGTACCCGGTCTCCCCTACTTAGCCTTTGAGCGAGAAAAAAAGAATTTTGATTTTAGTTTTAATTTTAATTGCTAGAAGAAAAAGAAGGTTAAACCGTGTAGATGGAGAAGAATTACAAACACACGCAAACCGGAATTTTATATATAAATAAAAATAAATATTAACGAGTTGATTACACATGTCAATCAAAATCTAAAAAATATTGAATGAATGTACCTACTGATTCTCTTTATCCTTTAAACTTAAACACAGCAATCGTTGGGGTGCTAACAACAGAAATCTTAGAAACACGTTTTTAAAAAAAATTACAGCCTATATAAGTTCAATTGTTGACAACTTAACGGCTCTCGGGTAAACGAGATGATTGTACCGCCATTTGTCGGAAACAATGAGATCTTTCTGACATAGCCACAATCCACGACATCCATCCATCCATTCATTACAGCCTATAAAAGGCCACTGCCCATAGGCCTCTCCCATAGGTTGCCTCATAAGGAGGATTTTGCCATAGTAGTAATGTTATTGTCGATTTAACAATTTCACCTCTCAGTGGGTCATGTGCTCCTGGTAGATTATCTTCTATACATCCATAATATATATAAAATAATACATATAAAAGTCCACTGCTGAACGAACACAGGTCTCCCTCATAGATTGCCTCATGGGCAGGATTTTACCACGGTTGCCACATTTGGCAAACGGGTTGTCAACCGCAGTTTTTATTATTTTGAGTTGTTATCAGGATATACGCTGCTGTTGCTTATCTCCTGTTTCAGTTTCCCTCTGTATCTTACGATATCCACGGAGCTATATGGGGTGATGAATATTCTAACGTCATCTACACATGACATCAAGTGCATTTAGTAAATGATGATAATGTCTTCCAGTACCAAATGTCGATCATAGTGGCCAAAATCAAAGCCAACTAACCATAATATGCGCAGGACAGGATTATAGTACCCAAGTGTGTGCGCAAGCACAAGTGTACTTCTCTATTCCCTCACTCACTCCAGTATCCGATGGGACTGCAATCCGACACGACCGGAGAGAGATCGAGCGCAAGACCAACAGATTTACGTGCTTACTGACGAACGGGGATTAAACACCGCCAACTTACTGACTCAATAAACTCAATAACTAAAACTAAACTAACTACTAAACTAAAACTCAATAAACTCTTTTTGGCGCGACCCGAAATTCAAACCCAAATGGAACATCAACAGTTGCGTTTACGCAACCGCTATACCAACGAGACAGTATCCAGTAAAGATGCTCTGTTTCTGATAATCTGTTTTATGTCATCAAAATTTAAACGTGCGTTTTTGTTGCAGGCAAATGGTGTCCTTCGCGGCGCGAGTGGTCGTCACCGCCGGACGTAGCGCGGCGGGTTTACTCGTCTGTGTTCTTGGGTAGCCCGGGTGAGTACCCAGGTAAATATACATTCATGTATTAATTTCACTTTTTACGTCGTAGAGCCACGCTTCAGCTATACTAGGGCTGAGCAAATTGAGCGACTCGCCAGGTGAGGACCACGCTCTTAAGAATACCATCGTAAAATAACTGCTGGATGCTGTTGTGTTTTGTATGGTGAGTGTAGAGAACCGGATACCCTTTTTACTAGAAACGAAGCGCTCCACCTTAGTTCTCAGGGGTGACAACGCATATGCATTTTGATTATTTATCGAGGATAGATTAAGGTGCACTGTTAGTTCGTTTGTCACCCTAATTCTATAAAAAAAAAATATGTATAAACACACACAGCCCATAAAGTCCTGTTGCTCGGCAAGGCCTCCTCTCAAACTTGACAAGTTTTGAAGAAGTTTTAAGGATAAAGTGTAAAGCTAACGTGTTGTCCCAAAGCGTATTTACATTCTTCACATTTCCTCGATTTTTTATAACGACATTGTTTAATTAACATCCTTGGCATTCAGATTTCCTCACGATGTTTTCCTTCACCACCGAGTACCCAACTCAAAATTGCTGTTAACAAACTTAATAGTGCCGTAGAGGATGGAATGCAGTTTGGTTGCGTGCTATACCTATTTAGTATTTTTTTTTTCATATAAGAGGTGCAAACGAGCATATGACTGACCTGATGGTAAGTAACTACCGCCGGCCATGAAGTATTGCATCATCAAGGGATTGCAGATGCGTTGCCGGCCTTTAAAAAGAGAATAAGCTATTTCTTGAAGTTATACTTATCTAATTTTTCTACCAGATTTTGGACTGAGTTCACTTAAACTAAATGCGGGGTTCTAAGTTTACCGACGCGACGGCACGTTACGATCCTGTGGACGTTTCATAAACTATTGATTGAAAATGCATTACGTTTTTATGAGTGTACATAATATATTAAATTTGATTTTGTTTGTTTGTTTTAAAGAAATAAAACATAAATTCTACATATTAAACTATTTCAGTTGTCGCGAGAGGCGGACCAATCTAAAGTTTAATTAATTACTCAAAGAACTATAATACTTTATAATATAACGGTTACGGATGGAACTTTAAAAATTATAAATCCAAACATTTTCAAGACATTTTGTAGAACAGTTATTCAAATATAAAATGTTTAAATAGTATAGCTATAATCGATGAGTTGAAAGAAAGAATGCTTCCGTCGGAAGACTTCAAAACTATATCTACTACCTAATATTGACAAATTTTTCAATTATTATTGCGTACATGAGACGCTAAATAATGAAATGCTTGTTAAAATATAAAAATGAACACTAACACTTTTTATTTATATGTAATTTGTATGGCAATTTGGCGCGAAATATACGCATACTTCGCGCCAAAATGCCCTTACAAAAAATAAAAAAAATATTCTAAGACTTAAGACTAAAAGCTGAGTATCATGTCGAAAAACAATTTGTCGATAACGACAAATCGATTCATTAACGATCGAATGAAATACGGCCTCAATTTGTATCGACTAATGTCATCAGCTTTATAATAATTTGTTTTATAAAATGATAATGTAATTTTCGATTTTAACTCCTTAGTTACCAAAGAGTTCGTAACGTCTTGAGCTCTCAATTTACTACCATCGATATTCATTATAATAAATTATGTTCATGTATTTATTGTTGTAAATACCTAGAAGTTCCAAGAGTATTTAATATCGCTATTTTGTATTTATGACAAAACGGGCACTGTGTGATCCGAAACAGGTGCCTGCAAACTGTTACTTATTTAAGTTATAGCTGTTGTTATTTTAATGTTTATAATAAACTCAATATTAGCAGATAGGTGTAACTGCAATCTAAAACGGCTATTCTATGCTATTTAAACCTGCGGCTACAATGTATAAGCAAACTAAAATAAAAGAGAATAAAAAATGAAGGGAAAGAAGTTACGTTAGAATATCTCGTATTTTTTAATCAATAAAATTAAAACTGAACCCAAGCAAGACTTTAAAACAAAGTAACTGCATTCTGCGTAGATCGGACCAAAAATTAATATTCAAAGACAGATGGTAGCTCGGGCTAACTATCACATCAGGTAGTCAAACACCTCCGTTCCTACCATGGCCATGGGTGCTGCAAAGCACCTGAAACATCGGGAATTAAAAATAAATTAAACTAGGCGCGTTAAAATCCGTAAAAGTAATTCAATGAGGTTATTGAAATTTTAAAAAAAACATCCAAATTTCAATAGAGAAGATGGCTGGGTCCTACCATCTGCTTGGGATTCTATAATTAATAAAATTAAATCCAAACCCTAGTAAACCGTACCACTGCAAGATATTGTAAGCTCGTTTAGCGTAGATCAAACCAAAAATTAATATTTAAAAGCTGAAGGTAGCCCGGGCTAACTATCATATCGGGACGTCAAACACCTCAGTCCCCCAGTAATGTAAAGCACCCGAGACGTCGGGAATTAAAAGTAAGATTAAGCGCGATAAATTAGTTTTATTCAATTAGTTTAGCCGGCTAATCTTCTTAAGTTTACTTTTTAAACTAAGAAGTAAGAAATAAGATACATGACAATGCGCTCAAACGACAATTATGGTTTTTATTTCCGTTTAATTAGAACGCAACATACCAGTTATAATATACCTACGTATATGTATTTTATGAACTGGTTTGGTCATTCTCAGGCCAACCGCCTACAGATATTTGTTAGCTGCCATTACAACACCGACGCTAATTATTTGACCCGTTTTTATTTCATATAATATAGCATCAGTACATTAAACTAGCTCGTTATCATTAATCACGCGCTTAAAAGACATCTTTTCCAATTACACTGAATTATAAAAAAAAAAAAAAAGATCTTGTTAATGCCCTGTGATTGTCTACCAGGCGGCCATAAACGTGTTAGTGGGTCAGTTACACAGAAATCCAAATATCTTCAAACTCTTCGAACATAAGCTTCAATTTGTCATTTATATACTGTGCCATCAATAAAGCAGTGCCATCTACCGGCTCATTCGGAACAATGTGACTCGAGAATGCGCTATTAGTCTAATTTAAGCTTTATTCGCAAGTGTTATAGTTTCAATTAGGGTTACGACGCAATACGTACACAACGTTACAACTATACGAGCAAGTAGTATATCCGTTTCGTTAATGTGCGCGTATGACGTGTTTCTATCTCTTTCTTAAAATAATTCATCAGCATCCATAACAGTTTCCATTACACTGAATCTTAAAAAAATTACCTACCGAAGCCAAAGCTACGGTCGTTGTATTTGTACGTTACGTCCACTTTTTAATATTGTTCCGTAATATACATCTTTGATATTCACAAAACTAAGTCGAAGAAACAATAATAGAGTGCTTAAATCAGAAATAGAATCGGCGAAGGCAAAGTCAATTTATTCGGAGCTTCGTTACAATTCCGATTTTTATCTAACGTCCCGAATGAATGCCGCCGAAGACGGATTACAGTGGACGGAGAGCTGACAAAAACTCCGATAGAGAGGGACGCTGCGAAGAAATCGATTCCGTCCTCAGTAAGAAAGAATCGTTTCGACACGAAAGAGCGAGCACGAGCTCGTCTTTACGATGTGTGAAAGAGATAAAACAATTCTTTATGTCGCTATTCTTAAGTCATTTGCGCATTCGAAATGGCACTTTACTGCCAGATATTAAGGTCGCAGTTTCATTGTTATGATTACACATTGACGATTGTGGCGTGCTGCAATGAAACGTTATAACTTCATTGAGTGGTGTACGTGATAGCATCCTTATAAACTTTTTAAATAAGGTCGTTATTCGGACGGGCGCTGCGTAGGGAAGGATAGGCTGGATGTGCACCGGCGGTTGCTATGGTTACATGCGCGTTGGAATGTTTAGGCAGGCGGTGCACGGAGTAGGTACTGAAGCGGGCCGCCTGTTTTATTTGATCTTTACCATTAATTTAATTGCTAATAAGCCCATAACGATAATGTTTATTTTAATATGTTATAATAATTAAAGTATGTTGTTGGCAGGCTAATGGCACTAACACCACAATATTAAGATGTGATTAGACAATATAGTAATTGTATACTTAATATAAGTTTATATCCTTATTAATGGAGAACTATTAACGACATTTATTAGAAATTATTTAGTTTAATGTTTTTCAAATTATGAATATTTTGTTATGCCATCATATGGTTATTTCAGTTGCTGATAATGCTCATTGATCAACTTTATTCTCATATGCTTTTAGGGAGCGTAAATTTCATGGACGTTACTCGTTCGTTTTGTAGTTGCTAGTTGTTCGCCCAAATAATTACGACGGCTCGCCTTCGTGGCGAAGCGCAGACTCATTTTTAATATTCTCTTTTCGAATTTACGTTCGAGATTCGAAATTAGAGTCCGACAAAGATGGCAAGCGGGCGATACGCAAGCGCGAGTGGGAGAGCACTCAATTGCTCAATTTGTGCCTCAGCTCATAAGGCCTTCGGGTTCCTTTTTCAAAAATCCAATGAGATCGATCGCTTGCCATGTCCGCAAATTAGAGCGGGAATCGTTGTTCGTTAGCACTTTACCGATCAAGAAGGCTTTAAACGCCATTTATATGTATTCCAAAGTAGCCGCTGTTCCAATGCCACTCGGGCGATAGTTTCCCGCGTGTTGTAATCTTCATCAACGTTGTGAGCGAGTCAAAGCGCGCCGCTGAGCGTACAGAGGTGCATTTTAGTATTACCGGCGGTCTCGAGGCGCTCATTTCGCCCGTACCTTTTAAAGATGTTGAAGATCCACTCCCGAAGATCGTTCGGGGTCATGCGCGAAAATTGCTCTCTCGCAAAGACCGCGCGTTTGCATACTTTTTTCTTTTGCGCAAACGGCGCCATTAGGTTTGCGTCTATCCATGGATACCTCGGCCAGTTCTCACAGGCAAAATTACTGCAAGTTGTAGTCGATTTAAATAACATGACCTGTTTCGTTGCAGCGTCCGAGCGGACGATGGAACTCGGATCGATAGAGCT